TGAAGGATCAAGAATAGAAATCAAGACTGAAATTCAAATAACAGTTTTATGAAAATGAGTTATCATGAAAATATTTTAAATATACATTTGTATATCCACACATCTTCAACAATGGTCAACTAAAGCCATTATTTTCCTATATATGCCCACCCACTTCCCCACTACCATATCATTTTGAAGCAAATTCCATATATTATATTATTTTATTAAGTACTAGGTTTTTCTGAAAAAAATAAACTGAAATAAAATAATCAGAATGACTAGATCACACCTGAAATTTAAAATAAGTTCTTAATATCAAATAGTCATTGAGTATACACATTCCTGGTCATCTCATAAATATTATATATGTTTATTTCATGGTTTATTTATGCAAACCAGGATTCAAATGCAGTACATACATTGTATTTTTTAAAATAGCTCTTAAGTCTCTTTTAAACTACAGTTTTACCATTTCTTCACTTTCACTTACAATTTATTTTTTAAATAAATTGGGATTTTGTTGAATATATCACTTTAGTGAACTTTGGCATGTTCCTTCGACTTATTTCCTGTCAAGTGGAAGTTAGATTTAGAGGCTTAATCAAATTAATGATTAATAGTTTATTTGTTTGTTTTGACAATACAAATCTATAAAGGAAGATTTGTTTCTCCGTCTACAGGCTTATTGTAGATGCTTCCCCAGGAGAAATATTTGCCATATAAACTATTGCCACTGGATCAGACACCACGTGGGACTGAAAGGGTAGTCTTCTTCAACAAGTTCATGGAAAGATTGATATTATCTTTCAATTCTATTTTCTACAAACTCTTTGAAGTACCTTCATATGTGGCAAAAGGTGCTTTATATATATATCAATGGTGTAGAAGAAAGGGAGAGCAATTTTCAGGTGTAGATAATAGAAATGCTGTATTTGATGGTAGCATTCATTTCTAAAATGCTTTTAGCAAATGGTGAATCAGAAAAAGAATTGTGATTAGTTACATAACAGTGACATCCTAACATGTCTCAATAGAAGTAAGAACCCCCGTGAAATCAGGATGTGGAAAGACAGTTTTAACAAAACATGACAGAAAAGATCTCAAAGCCATGCTCATGAACTTTTCACCATGGGACAGCAAGGCAGACTATGTTTTTAAAATTCATCAATCAAAAAGTCACTTCCTATGTGCAAATCAGTAAGAGCAAAGCTGTGATGAAAAACAGTCACTTGTCCCTGCTTACCCGGAACATACAGAAAAGAAGGAACACGAAAATACAAGACAGCCAAGCATATGTTTGTAAGTTTGTAGCCTATAAGGAATTTGGAGAGGGGAGATTACTGTTATCTGGGGTCATCAGGATGAGTATTATAAAAGAGGGGGAATAATGAGTAATCTTTAAAGGATTGTTAGAATGGAAGTAGAAGAAATGAATATGTGGAGTTTTCCGTAAGACATACATTGTATGAACAAAAATGAGTAGCTGGGAATGAGCATAGTATGTTCAGGTAACTGTAGATCAGCGTTTTTAAGAAACACACACAATGGTCACATGCATAAATGGCACACCACATAGTTCTGGAATGAGGACTCAAACCATCTTGGTTCTTGGTGTCCTTTAGATGAAAGGTGTCTTGAGTAAGCTATTTAGCTTCTCCAGGTTTCTGTTTCTTTATCTTCTATGAAGAGAGGATTGGACTAGCTTACAAGTTTCCTGATTTCTGGGACAAGTAAACTTTTTAAAATGTTGAACAGTTCATTTCTTATTATGGTCAAAACCAAACCTAATAACAAATAACAACCTGCCATCTGCTATCATAATTATTTTTTAGAGAATATCTTCTTATATGTTTAAAAGTATATTTAAAAGCAAAAAGGAAGGGGGTGCAGGAACTCGTTTCAGAAATTTGTGCGTGTCAGATTGCCCTTCTTTTTCCTTATTTTGATAAAGACTGATAAAAACTTCATCTTGGAGTCTACCTAATCAGCATGTGGGAACCATAGACTAGCTGATATTTAAGGTCCTCTCCCTTTGAGACATTCTAAGAACTCATCACTGGATGTAATTTCTCCATTATACTCTGTTTGTCATTGAGCAAGCTAGTTAACACCCCAATGACTTGGCTAGCTTTTAAATGTTCACAATGTTATTGGGTCTGCTATCAGAACAATTCTTACTGGGAACACAGATAGGTTTGCCAGAAAAAAAAAATGCTGAAATCCAGGAGAGTTGTCTTCTAGTTCACGTTTTGTCATTCCCAAATAGATAAGCTTGTTCATGTCATTAAACCTTTCCTAAAAGTCATATGGAAAAATGAAATTGTCAAACCACCTTACCTTTCTCACTGGGTTGTTGTGAGATACATAAGATAATATATTTTCAATTTTCTAAACAAATTCTAAAACTACATAAAGTGTTAATAAAAATACTAATATGCAAAATCACAAGTATGTATTAATTTATTAGTAATTCAAAGCAGGTTGTAAGATTATGATTTTAATCATTTAAAATGGCTAAGAACTAAATTTCAAAAATTACAATCTTGAATATGGTATTTTTATGCTAGATCTTCAGAAATAAAATGTATATGATCACCTCAAGCAGTTCCTGTTATTACAAAATTCTCAGATGACAACATAATCAAAATCGTCAGCCATCCAGACACACGATTCTTTTCCTCCACATCTGAAATTGCATCTGCAGCTTGGCATTGACTAAATGTTAAGAGAGTCACTAGAATTTAAGTTCACCAATGTATAAAAGCAAGCATAAGTTCAAGTTAAGACTTTGGCAAAGAAGCCCAAGAAGTAACGATGAAATGCAGCCAGTAATTATATTCCAAATGAAAGGAAATGTGTCTTTTCTTGATTGAAGAACACTAATTATCAAAGATTTGGCAGAAGTCTACTACTCCTAATTGCATGAAATTAGCGAATTGACATTTCTGAAAATGGTAGTGATTATGACTGCGTAGTGTTGTTAAATATCCTCCTCCAACGTAGCTATTCTTGTTTTTAACTGTTCATTACTGGAAACACTTCACCCTTATTATTATTTTGGAAGCTGTTTCTATAGGGAGTTCTATATTTATGTAAGTTCATTATCACCTGCATTTTGCTACCCAAATTTATAAAGATAGCTGGTCACTGAATTAGGAACAAGACGTTTTTTCCACTATCAAGAGCAGTGATATTGTGAACAGAAAATTATTTGGAAATAACTCAGAAGTAGGTGATTTCAGATATGTTTAATGAGTATATGCTTAAGTAAGACTCAAAATTGGAAAGGGATCTTCTCAACAATGTAGTTATTATACCCTGATGCAATTTTATTTTTAATTGAAAACTGTAGATTAAATTATATTTACCATGAGGACACAGGCAATTTCTGTCTTGTTTTTGCTGAATCCCAAGGATCCAACAAATGGATGGTGTCTCAGACGTACTCACTAAAGCTTTGTTGAATGTACAAAAAGAATGATCTTCAGTACTTCAGGCTTCAGATATGATAAAGAGAGGACACAGGCAATTTCTGTCTTGTTTTTGCTGAATCCCAAGGATCCAACAAATGGATGGTGCCTCAGACGTACTCACTAAAGCTTTGTTGAATGTACAAAAAGAATGATCTTCAGTACTTCAGGCTTCAGATATGATAAAGATGTTGCTACTGCCAAAGGTTGAAAATTATTTCTGATATTTTTAATGCAATCTTAAAATCTAGACATGATGACATTAATTCGAGTTAATAGAATACCAATTTTTTACTTAATATCCTACATAAATGTGGACCAAAGACAACCAATGGAAGAGAGAAAAACAAAAGGCCTTTTTAAATATTTCTCTTCATTAGCATTCATAATGATTTATTTAAAATGACATACCTTTTGAATAATATCGGTTCATCTAGTTGAATAACTCTTAAAACATTTTTTAATATCACGGACGACTTGGTTATTCAATGTGTTTACATTTATAAACTAAAACAATAACTCAGGTAGACTTAAGCCTAAACTCCAAAAGTAATGTTTTGTAAATTTAATTTTAGAGAAGTCACACTATCAATTTATTTTATTTTATTCTAATTAGCACTATATCTTTTGGTCATAAAATATAACTAAAATTGATATTGTTTTGGCATTCCAATTAAAACTGAAAGAACTATTCTCCCAAATGTTTGCATAAACTTTCAAATTTTTTACACAATAGCTTTGTTACATGTTCATATAATTTTAATTTTAAGTGTAGATCTGTGACAGTGTTAGGTTTATCAAAAAGATCTTTATAAGTGATGATTTGGCTAGAGTAATCCTCTATTGACAGGGTATTTATGTAGAAGTATATCTATTTACAAATCACTCACTATGATTCACTATGATTAGTGTTTGGTAACACTTATCAAAGGCATTGTTTTTGAATAGAACGATGAGATAGAACGTCATTTCTACAGAGAGATTTAAGCCACAGCCTAGTAAAATACAAACTTTCTTTTTATACAGAGCAATAATTACATGAGGAAAATATTGTGTTCTGTGTATGATTCTCATAAGTGGGAGCTGAGAAAGAGAAAGAGAGAGAAAGAAAAAGAAAGACAGACCCCAATAAAACACTGAGCTTTCAGGATAGAACAGACCTATAGTTACTAAAGATGGGAAAGTGGGAGAAGGAAGGAGGTTAGGGAGTAATTGGGTGAGGGACACAAAGAATAATTCTGATTTGTGGTGATGAACATGCTAATAATATTGATTTGATCATCACATACTGTACACAAATACTGATAGTCAGCTCTGTACCCCAAAATACTTATAACGGAAAACAAATAAAAAAAAATCATTTGACCTGATTGGGAAAGACAAAGCAAACATTTTAAACTACAATTGATATAATCCTTAGACAAAGAAAAACATGTTCCCTATAAAACTCTCACTGCAACATTGACTTCTTGGTCAATGCATCCTTTGTGATTCTGTAGTCATGCTTCTCTTTTCACTAACTGCACATTCCTTTTACTGCTATGCTAGGTCTGGAAAAAGTGCCAAAGGATCTTCCCCCTGACACAACGCTGCTGGATCTGCAAAACAACAAAATAACCGAAATCAAAGATGGGGACTTTAAGAACCTGAAGAACCTTCACGTAAGAACTGTTTTGTTTTGCATTTTTAATCACAACAAGATATGACTCAAAGTATTTTTCAAAAAAGAAAACTTACGTAAGGCCAGGAGTACTATATGGTAATAAAAAGCACATAAATGTTTATTAACTTCTCTTTTTGGTGGTGGTAGAAAGCAAAGCATCATATTCATTAACCACTAAAAAGTCATCCGATTTTCTTACATATATGGTATATATTTTTAGTATTTGTTTCATAAAAACTACTTCGTATCTTAATACCTTTCATGTTTTCAAGAATAAAAATTGCTATTCTCCCTGTTATATAGTACTCCAATAGTTGAACAAAACACAAAACAAATTGATTTTATTATTATTTTGTTTCCTCGGTTTTCTTTCATTTGTTTTCTGTGACAGGTGCAAATGAACTTTTAAAGGCTCAAAGATTGGCACCAAGAATAAAAAAGGGATAATCATCCATTATTTAGTAAATATAATTCTATCTGCATAAACACACACACACACAAGGGTACTTCAAAAAGTTAGTGGAAATATGGAATTAAAAGATAATACGAATCCTTCCATGACCTTTTTGAAGTACCGTCATATGCATGTATATGTGTATTTAGGATTATATATGCTGCATCCTTATCTGTGTTTTTAGTGATTTTTTCACTTGCCTCCACTCTATGATAATATTCAGTCTACCGATCAGTATTCCAGCAGAAGAGAGTTGGCATTCTCAAAAGGATTTCATGGAGGAGACTTTAGTGAAGGGACTGTTCGCAAAGGGGTATGGAAACCAGCAACTCATTGTAAAGTAGGCAGGCCCAGAAGGCCTGAAGAATCTAGGGGGTCCCACAGCAGTGGAAGAGCTGGGGAGCAGAAGTCTTACTTCCTAATTTCCTGGTAGTGTCTCCTGTGGCTGATCTACTTGAAGGGCAGAAGATGAGGACATTTGGTTGATGCAGTCCCTAGAAGTCAGCTTGCCAGGATACAGAGAAGAGCCAAATGGGTCAAAGAATGAACATAGCTGTAGCTGGTAAAGGTTATGCCATAAATGGAGAATGATCAGCTCAGTCAAGTGGGGTTAAAGCTTGCTAAAGCAGCCTTCTGCAGGAGTAAATAGACTGTTCACACTGGGCACTAGAATCCCTATACAATGTGTTATCTAGTTTATCTCTCCACCTGTGGGATAGTATAATGTGGTTTCCCCTCAAAATATCAGTGCACATTTAATATAAATAAGCCAGACTTCAATGTCCAAAGAAAATACTATGAAAATCTCACTATGTCTTTATTTCACTCTGGTAGGCCATTAGCATCTGGAGGGCTGGCTGGGGGCTCATGGGAGAGTATGGTGCTGATAGCACCAAGGTCAAGGTTCGGATTCATGTAGGATTCAGATCCCAGTACTGCCCAGCCATCAAAAATAAATAAATAAATAATAAGAGCACCCAGAGAAAGAAGGATGATAGGATGATCGTAGGATGAAGAATCTGTAAATAAGTTAATGGAGATGTGGATATCTAAACTGAATGTAAATGGGTCACTACTGACATATTTGAAGGGCCATGTTGGAGAAGATAAGTTGTATTGACTTGCTTCACCTTCAAGATGTCAAAATTGTCCTAGTAAGTGGAAATATCGGGGAAGCAGATTTTTGTTTGATATTAAAAATGCAATTTAAAGAGTTAGACTTTGCAGAAAATGGGGAAAATTACCTAGTGATATACTACCGACCTGTGGAGATGTGAGTTCACAGCTTCTTGTAATGAATATCATAGAAATACACTCTTAAGTTTGGGAGCATAAACATAGTAAACATTATTTCATGCCTGTTTTTTCTCCTAGTCATTATAGAAAAAAATTGAGGGATATTGTATACTAAGAATAGGCAATACATAGTAAAATATAAATATAAAACAAATTATCTGGCTGCTATATATTAGAATAAAGGGAATATGTAATATAAATAGAATAAACTGGTCATAATATATTATAGAGTTAATATAATCAATACAAGATTTCATTATGAACTTTCTGACAGTCAAGATGAGAAAAGTGATAAATATTTACCCATTAGTAGAAAATATACCAGATTTTTATATTTTAAAAATATGGCAGATTTTTTAAAGGAAATAAAGATTTTTTCCTAAGATTTTAAGATTCTATATGGAACAGTTTTAAAAAATAATAGCACATGACTGAATGCTATGGTCAATTTATTTATGAGTCCAACACTATAAGCACAATATGAAATAAATAGTGAGTACTAAGGGCACAAAGTAAGAGAAAAATCAGACATCATTATATATCAGATTACCACTTATTGTTTTGAGAGAATATGGGATGAAGGGGTGTCAGAGGATTAGCAGAATTTTAAAAGTCATAGAGAAGAAAAGAGGGCTTTCTGTGCAAGAGGAGAACAAAGGTGGAAGAAAATAAGCAGCAGACAAGAATACAAGCTGGTTAGAGTGAAAGATACAGGCTCAGCAACAGTGGAGCATAAAACTTGAGTTTTTGGACTGATTGGGTCTATTTCAACTGAAAGGATGCTCAGTCTGTGCCCCTACTCACCAGCTCTCTGCTTTCATCTTAAGGTTTTACTGAGAGTGAGCTGATGGTGAAGTCAACAAAGTTTATCAATGACTGCTTAAATTATCATTGGAATAAATTTAAAGAGATGATAATATAAAATGAATATTATATCAGCAAACTAAAACATTAAAAAAAACTTCATTTTATTTGCATAAGTTTACCCTAAACCAACTTTTTTTAGGAAAGGAAAATTCTCTTACTCTAATTTAATCTTTCTGTATATTTAAGTATAACCTGAATAATTTTTTAAAAACTCTGTATGCTTAAATAAGAGACATCCAGTTTCGGTGACGGTCTCATTAAATCTGGCATTTGTAATAATATGGTCTTTCTTTTCTCAAGTCTCTTCTAAGCATGCTTTTAGGGAACCATCATCTTGGTGATCCCTTTATTTCTACTTCAAAGTATGCTTTGGAGAAGAGACAGTTCATTAGAGCTTCCAACCATTCAGAGGATGCTAAACAGCTATTTTTCTCTAACTCTTTCATTCATGACCATTTCTATCCTTGTTATTATGCAAATAAACATCATAATTCAGCTAGGAAAGCCACATTTGAATGAGAAGTAAGGAGACAAATGAAAATTTAGCAAGGATTAAAATAGAAATAATTTAACAGAAAAATCTTCCTTTATCCTCCAATAATTTTATCTATTTGCAGCTCTGTGGCTCATTATGAGTGGTACAAGTTGCTTCAGAGTAGTTTTATACTCATGGGTAGTAGAAAAACTACATAATTATTCTATAAAATGATGGAAAATGAAGTGTGATAATGCCAACATTCAATATATTTCCTATAAATTAAAGCTTAATAAATTTAGTAAGGAAGTTTTCTTAAAAAATTAAAAGTCAACAAAATTGTCACACTGAGTAATAGCAAACATTTCTTTAGCAATTACTATGTACTAAGTTCTTAGTACCTTATATATATTGACTTATAAAATCCTCATAACTATTGTTTAATCCTCATAACTTACTTTCTCCTTTATACAGATGAGAAAACATAAGCACAGAGAGGTAAAGTTGCTCTTTCATAGTCACACAGCAAATAATAGCCAGAGCTTGAGTTTAGAAACTCAGGAACAGTCTGGCTTGAGTACTTGCAGTAATAATTACCTATAAATATGAAAGTAACCAAGAAAGCCCTTAGACCAAGACCAGGTACAGTGTAAGCCCTTCATAAATGGCTTTGGAGAAAAATGTACATACTATTAAAAGTCAGATTTTAACATTTAACATAACAACAACAACAAAAAGAACCCAGATGTTTCAGACCATGTTTAATATATTCAATTATATCTAGCTTTTAAAATTTTCCTCCGTGGATGGCATATGAGCATCTCCCTTGCCATCAATTTTTATTAAGCATCTGCGATTTGGTGTGTCTCGTAATAAAGCAATTGCCTCATTTACTCCTCTGGCCCTGGCTTTTATTGATTTCCCTGACATTTTGCTTGTTAATGTCAATCTCCTATGACCTCAACCCCCACAAGTTATCAAACTTTGTGTAAGAGTCATTGGAATCTCTTAGGATTTTGTGTTAATCAACCAATTCATCATTTCGGATTATTCAAAAGATGATCTAACTTGTAATAAGAAATTTAATTTGTCAAATAATGTGAACCACTTGAGAATGTATATGAGTTAATTAACCAGCTATTACCTTCAGAAAGGTATAAGTTTTGCATTTCTGACTCTAAAAATTCTCACCTATTTCTCCAGTTCTCTTTTTGCCTCTCTTCATTTCCATAACTGCAAAAAAAGTGCAGTACAATTGAAAATGCAAGTTCCTTAGAGCTTCATAAAATCATCCTAAGTTCCTTGATGAGGAGACTTAACATAATAAAAATGGTGTGGTTCTGTTATATATATAGATCATTGGAACAAAATAAAGTAGCCCCAAAATAGGTTTAGCAATAGCTATAGGTGTAACAGTAGTGATGTAGAGGTAATTTCCTGTATTAGGAGAATTCAGAAACAAAAATACAAAAAATTACTCAAAATATTGCATATTTGTCATATAAAATCATTATACATAAAAAAGGCAAAAAAAAACCCCATAAAATATATATTGTTTCTGCATGTCATGTTGACCACATCTTTATTCTCTAAAACAATTATTAAAACATATGAAAATTTAATAAAAAATAGAAGTATTTGTAATCCTCTTTCTCCAAAAAACAAAACACAATAAGTGGCAGGAAAATAAAAGAAAACTTATTTACCCTTTCAAGTGACAAAGAAATTCAAAGTAAAGCAATAAGCTACAACATGACTATCACTGATATGGCAAAACTTTTGAAAAAGATATCTAATTTTGCAAGGCTACAGGAAAATTTTAGTTTCGTGCATTGTTGGTGATAGTATAAATTGGTATCTCTCTTCCGTAGTGAAATCCTGGTAACAGTCAATGAAGATAGACTTTTAGTGGACTTTTAGGGGACCAATGTCTGTGGCACTGATTGTTTTTAGGTGTCTTGGGTTATTCTAGTAATTTCAATCTTTAGAAGTATTTATTGTTTATAAAATTATATATATAAATACATGCATATACATATGTGTATACACATACACACTTGTGTATGTATGCGTATGTATGTATTTATACCTCGTTACATTTCTCTCCCCTATATTCCTGATGTTTAGGTCTTCATATTAAATACTTCTTAAGTAGAGGAATCAGAACCGCTTTATTTTTTCTGATGTCTTACAATTGTCCAGATTTCTCTGTGAGTCCCATGAATGAAATAAATAGATTATGAACTTGTTTTTTATAGATGTGAAAGGCTTTGAATTTGAGAAGATACTGTTTTTATTCACTATCTACAGGCATTGATCCTTGTGAACAACAAAATTAGCAAAATCAGCCCTGGAGCATTCACACCGTTGGTGAAATTGGAGCGACTTTATCTGTCCAAGAATCAGCTGAAGGAATTGCCAGAAAAAATGCCAAAAAGTCTTCAGGAGCTGCGTGCCCATGAGAACGAGATCACCAAAGTGCGAAAAGCTGTGTTCAATGGCCTGAACCAGATGATCGTCATAGGTACAGATATTCTTGTAACTTTAAGGACAGGATTCAAGGTTCACCTTAAGAGGTTTCAAGTAAACTTTAAATGCAGGAGGTAAATTAGCTAGAACCTACATGCCTTAAGCCTATATGAATTTCAGTAGCAGGGCCTGGAGAGATGGGATTTCGAACTCGTGCCTTACAGTGACATTTTTCTTCCTTGTCCTTGAAGATCTGAGAATGTGGAGGAAGCATTAGGACTGAAGTTACCCTACCACATGCCCAATATACAGGATGGATTTAAGTAGTGTTTAATTAGAGGTATTTTGGTATACCTTTCCATTGTGGAGATTTGTTGTGTTCTGAACACCCATAAATTATTTGCTTTTAGAAATGTGTTATAATCTTTTGCCAAATGTATGGTAAAGAAAATTGTAATTTTATAATTGGCGTACAGCACCATGCTCTAACCAACTGAACTAACTGGCCAGCACCTTAAATTCTTTAACATTTTAAAGCATCTTTGGACAGTAATAGCATATGGTGTGATTTGTAAACACTTGCTTTAGTTGATTACTGGACAAACCTGTGAATTCACACTAAATAATTTTGTTGTTATTGTTTTTGCTATTATTGTTTTTCATAAGTTTTTATTGTTCTTTTCTTATTGTTTGTTTGGTCTTTCTTTGTTTTAATAATGGAAATTTTTATTGCATTTTGCTATTATTCTGAGGAGCATGCCTTTTCTCTTCTGCTTTTCAGTGAAGTTGTTATTGACCCAAATTTCTTTCTAGATTCCTTGCACTATTCTGACTTGCAATACCCTAAAGTTTCCTATAAAATCTTTGCACTTTTTGCATTTGTAGAACTGGGCACTAATCCACTGAAGAGCTCAGGAATTGAAAATGGAGCCTTCCAGGGAATGAAGAAGCTCTCCTACATCCGCATTGCTGATACCAATATAACCTCCATCCCTCAAGGTGATAAAAAATTCTCCAAAGCATTTTGAAAATTCTGAATCCAAAGGCCTTGATATTTAAAACTCTGTTGTAGAAATTTGAATTGTGACCCAAATGGTCAACATTATTTCCAATAATTTCTCTATCCCTGCAAGTATTTCTACCAAGCCTGGATGACACTGGGCCACCTGGGCTCCCCGTAAAGATGCCTAGATTCCTCATAAAGTCCCTTCCAAGATGTAACTTAATGAACAATGATTTTATGTTATATAATTGTGATATCATGATATCATACAAAAAAGTACAGTTATTTTAAAAATAGAGTTCTTTGGTATTTAAAAAATATAAAAAGAAAAAAAAAACATACCTCTGAAATTGAACCAATTTTTACTTTGAGTCTCCAATTTATTTGGGAATTCTTTTCCATCTTAGGACACCACAGTCATTAATATCTAAATAAGGGAATCCCCCACTCTTACTTAATAGTGGCAGTTATGTATTGTAAAAAGTATAGATTTCAGAGTCAATTTGCTTGAGTTCAAGTTGTCACTAATGGGCTTAACGACTTCAGGCAAGTTTTTCAACATCTGTGCCTCAATTTCTTTATCTGTAAAATGAGAACAATGTTAATATTCACCTAATGAGGTTGTTTTAAAATTAAATGAATGATTAGAGGAATATCTGGCATGTAGATAAGTAGGGGGATGATACTACTTTCTATTGCAGTTTTCATTGAAAGTGTTTTGAACACACTACACTTAGGCAATGCACTCCAGGCACTGGAGACAGGCCAGCGAGTGGGATATATTACCTGCTTTTAGGAGCTCACAATCTAAGTAAACAGCAGTCACCACGCGATCACAGGAGTAAGCCTATATCAGTGAAGAGATACCCGGGAGAGGCACATAAACCAGGCTCTGTGAATCAGAAAAGGCATCAAACCACCAACAATAAATTCCTCCATTTTGCACATTTTCCCTATTCCAGGTTTCTCAGTTTTGCAAAAGCACGTCCGTATTCTCAAGTTTCCTCCTCAGTCTGCCTCAACTTAGGTGCCCTGTTCTTAGACTGGGTACAAAATGTAGGTACTTACCCACAGAAAACATCAATTGCCCTTATTGTGCTTCTACAGAAATTTCATCTCCTGAGAGTTCATATAACATAGAGTGTTTTCTTTCCACCTCTTGCTCTCTTTACACATTTTGGCTACAGAGCATGCTTTTGATGTTTTTGATAGCAGCTGCTGGAATGAATAGATAGATGGATGGATAGAGATTGATTTATAGTTGATGAAGCACTTTCATGTTGAGTCTCCAATTTGTTGCACACACTTTTTTTTTAACCCTCAGTGCAGTAATTATGTATATCTTGCCTAAAGCCATATAGCAGTCCGAGGTGAAGTAGCTGGAAATATGTCTCTCTTTCTATATATAGATAGATATAGAGAGATTGAGATATACATATAAATATATCTTGCATATATGGCCTAAAGCCATAAGGGGTAGGAGGTCAAGTAGCTGAAATTTTTTTCCACTACTTCATGCTGCCCGATGATCTGCATTAAGCACAGTCTTTGACTTTTCTGTCCCTCTTAACACATCCTCCAAAAAATCCTTCAGTGACACATTTTATCACTTAGTGATCTGCTCGCCTTTACTTTTCTATGTCTTCTACCTATCTTAGGCATTCTTTTCTCATTTCAAGCTTGATTTTATTTACTACTACTTAATATAAAAGTACTTAATTTAGTGTCAGGTATCCTGCCAAATGCTATTTATGGATTCTTTTATATGATTCTCAAAACATTCCTGTATAATAATATTAGCACCTCTGTTTTATAAATGAGGAAAATGAGCCTTAAGCGTTAGGTGAAGTAAATTAAGACCAAGGACTTAGAGCTGGGAAGTGGCAGAGCTGGGATTGTGCTGGGCTGATTTTAGAGCTCAGGTGTTTAACTACTTCACTCTGTTGACCTCTCAAGTCCTCTCTTCTGCACATATTTATACCTGTCTAATATATTAGTCTATTTTTCTTAGGCTGGGACCCTTATGCCTGAGCATCGCCAACCTCCTGGTGATATTCTCTCCCATCCCTCATGGAAATGGAAATGCAGTGGAATGTAGTGTAGAGATTAGAAAATCATACTCTCCAGTTAGACCAACCTGGGTGAGAGGCTTAATTCAGCCATTTATTTAACTGTTCTGTGATTTGAGGCTAATTATTCTACATTTCTAAAACGTCAGTTTTGTTATCTGTAAAACGGAGGTATATCCTAGGATTATTGTGAGGGTTGCTACATATAAGTCAGCCTTGCAATGTACACACAGAGTACCTAGCCCGAAATAATCCTCTATTTATCTTAAAAATAAATAAACAAATAAATAAATAAATAAATAAATAAATAAATAAATAAATAAATAAATAAATAAATAAAAGTAACTACAGATGCTACCTGATGATGGGTTATGTCCCGATAAACCCATTGTAAGTCCAAAATATCGAAAATTGAAAACACATTTAACGTTGGCAACATAGCGGGTGGTCCCCGACTTAACAATGGTTTGACTAATGATTTTTCAACTTTAAGATGGTGCAAAAGCAACATGCCTTCACTAGAAATGGTAACCGCATCTAAAGTCGTAAGGAGCATCTCATCTTACCTGGGGTTATGTCCTAATGAACCCATCACAAATTGAAAATATCCTAAGTCATTTATTCAGACTAACTCCATCATAAAATGAGGAGCATACTGAATGCTTAGTACTTTAGCATCATTCTAAAAGTGAAAATTCTTACATTGAATCATCATTAAGTCCAAGGACCATGTTTAGAGTATAGGTTCTTTAGCTAAGTTTCACAGTGCAAAGGCTAATGATACTCTTTGTAAATTTTCCCGCTCTGTCTTATTGCAAAGTTTTCTTTCACTGTCAGACTTTCTCCTGGCTATAACTTTATTTTTAGGAAACTGATGCCCCCAAAATGTAGACACTTAGAAACAAGGTAAGGGTGATGGATGTGTTGATACTTGCTGTACTGGAGGCACTACGTTTAAAAAAAAACTCTTTTCATGTTGAGAGGGAAGAAAGGATGTGCATTCAATTTGCTTTATTATATATACACTTGCTTTACCTACAGAGCATTTTAAAATTCATATTTACTTATTCTAAGGAGAACCAAGTTTCTGAAATCCTTTATTCATGGAGTAATTGTGATTTTCTAAAATTTATTCATAAGAATAATAAAATTATTTCATTTTCTCCAATGAAAACATGCTATTTTAACTTCCTTTGGCTCTCTGGGAGTATATTACATTCCTTACTTAAGAGATAGATAACCTGCAAAATTTGTAACTTTGATTCTCCATTTTCTTGTTTATGGAAGAGGATTAATAACTAATGATGTATACACTGAAATAATTAAAGGAATTGAGTGAGGAAAAGTAACAAGTTCAGTACATAACAGACATACAGTAAGTAGAAGTTTCTTTCCTTAGTATCGCCTACACAAATTGTACTACCATATAGAAACTAATAAACACTTTTAAATCATAATAAGGACTAAAATATTACATTAATTATATAATATTAACATAATTCAGTGGGACGTAAGAAAAGTTTCAAATCCAAGGTAACATGATTTTTCAGTTCTGTGTCTTTATAGACAAATAACCAAGACTTTCTGCCAATCAGATGTTAATTCTATATGTAACCAATTTGCTATTTTCCTTGTAGTTGTTGCTGTTCTTTTAAGTGGAACAATATGCTATTTAAAAAGCTGTATAGAAACATAGTACATTCTCAGATGGTAAGAGGAAATGAAAATAAAATTTTTAAATTTTTATATTTACATTACTAAATCTTTGGAAATCACAGCCATTTGAGAAGTATTACTCAGAGGTTTAGTGGGTACTTTGGATCAAAAATTATTTCCCCAGGGGCTGTACATATGGCAGATCACTTGATTATAGGTCTCTGCACTCTTCTTGTATAAAGAAACAGTCTTGATTTAACAGGGCTAGGTAAGCTTTAGCTCTTTTGGCATAGCCATGCTGCAGAGGCATTTAATGTTTTTATGGAAAAGTCGATTAGGGCTAAGGCCAGCACAGCATATCAGTGTTAGTTATTAATGATGCCTATTAGTGAAATATTTGGTTAAGTTCATATGTAAGTTTAACATATACATGAACTCTTCATTATAGTTCAAATGGTCATATCTCTATTTTATAGTTAATTTCTATTATCAATGGCAATGTTAGCCCATTAACAAAGATGGAAGAGAATAATGAAATTCAGGGTTTGACTTCAATTCTACATTGCTAGGACAAAAATCTACTACACGATACAAATGGTTTATGTTTTTTTTTTCTTTTTTTTTCCTTTTTGTCTTTTTTACTGACTGGTAATGGGATCGCAACCCTTGGTGTTGCGCCTGCACCACGCTCAGCCAGTGAGCGGGAACCGGTCTCCACATGGGATCCGAACCCTTGGCGGGAGCGCCGCCGTGCTCCCAAGCAGCGCACTCTCCAGTACACCACCAGGCCGGCCCTTTATGTTTTTATTAAAGTCAATCTAGGAGAAAAGTAGCAAGGGCTTGCACTACTTCCAAAAGCATATATTATTATAAAAAGGATGAAGTAAAAAGATGAAAAGCAAAATTGATTCTTTGAAACTGTATGTTGTTTAGAAAATTGATGGCACATGTTGTTCTCATTAAGTCTTTCCACAGTCTGTACATGTAATGTTTATCTGCTAATTAAGCATCTTGTATTTCCATATTCCAGATCTTCCTCCTTCCCTTACTGAATTACATCTTGATGGCAACAAAATCAGCAAAGTTGATGCAGCTAGCCTGAAAGGACTGAATAATTTGGCTAAGTAATAATATTCTTTCATGTCATTTTTTCCAAGCAATAGCAAGCTGTATTACTGCCTGCACGCGCAGAATTAGGCACATGACAATTGATTTTTGACCATACCACATTTTGCTGCTACTGTTTCTAACAACCTCGAACTTCAGATTATCCAATTATTTCTTGAAAAAAGTCAGTGAAATAGCATACTTACTATAACTACCAAGATCAACCTCATATTTTGTGTATTGTCTTTAGATTAGTTATACGATATCTTATGTACAAGGTGTTTGATTAAATCAGTAGGTAGATTCAATTTGCTCTTAGTTGCATCAAACAGAAGGTTAAGTAAGTTACAAATAACACAGTATCCAGAAATTCAAAATAATTAAAATGAAAGCTAACGGGAAATATTGGGCATCCCACAGATTACTGTTAGAATAGTTATGATGGGGCCGACCCCATGGTGCACTCGGGAGAGTGAGGCGCTGGGAGCGCAGCGATGCTCCCGCCACGGGTTCGGATCCTATGTAGGAATGGCCGGTGCACTCACTGGCTGAGCGTGGTGTGGGTGACACCACACCAAGGGTTGCGATCCCCTTACCGGTCACGAAAAAGACAAAGGAAAAAAAAAAAAAAAGAATAGTTATGATGAAATTCTGTAACCTCCTATTCTCTGAAGAGTTTAAAATAAAATATCTCTGGACATTTAATGTAAGCCAGCAAAAGAAAATTTTGTTATTTTTTTCCCCAAGACCCCCTAACATTTTTTATTTTATTTTATTTTTTATTGTTTGTAAATGATCACCAGTCCCTGTCCTGCTTCCTAACCTAACTTCAATCCTTGTATATTTGCAATCTGGTTAAGTAATAATAAGAAAAGAGTGCTGGCAAACTTTTCAGTTGTCTTCAAGGAACACTCTGTTCTTGATCCCCATGTGTTCTCCCACAGAGAAACACAGTATTATGCCAAATTGACTCACTCCTCTTTTTGTATATAAATTTCATGGTAGATAAATAAATGTAAACTATATCCTTGTGTTTTTGAGAAATATCTAAAACCAAATGGGTGTCTAAAGCAGCGTTTCCCATTTCTGTGGATATTCCCCAGTGACCCAGTGGATGGGGAAAGCTGAAGATGAACATGTGCATGTGGCTGTAGCTACAGGATATTACCCTGTTGTCTGAAATAGTATCTTTCTTCTACAGCTATTTTAATTACACTCTTTAATATTGAATACATTTTTCACAATAATATTAGCCTCACCTACCTTTTCTTTGGTCCCTCTAGCTGCAGAGAAAATATAAGCAGATAAGTTGCATGGTTTATTGTGTAGATCTCGGTGTTTTTTTTTTTTTTTTTTTTTTTTTTTTTTTTTT